CCAGTACAGACACGTGACCGTTAACTGCAAAGGGCCTATTCCTAGCTCGTAAAGCTCGTAAAGTTTCTTTCTACATTTCATAAATATATTTTCATTTATTGGATATTTATATACCAAGAAATAACATTTTCCCGCAAAAAATACAAGTTTGCTTGGCGGCCCGCGCTAAAACAAAACGCATTGGTCTGCGTCCATACAGCTGGGTAATTAATGCATCCGGCATCCGGCGCTTCAAACATTTTCTTCGGAATCAAAAATAAATTTACATAGCGAGTAAAAATACGACTGAAATGAATAATAAATGCACTATTTTTCAAACATTTAATTTTCATCAGACAAAATAACCATGTGTTTTTTTTGTGTGGTTAAAATGCTTTTCAAAAAGACTACAAAATCTTGTTGCATTTTTTTATTTTAAGAAATTTTGCTTACAAGTTGAGGGCGACTTTCTAAAGAGACTAAAATCCTTCTCTCGTAGAAGAAATGCTGTTTTTTTTATTTGTTTTTTCTTTTTTTTTTTTTCAGTTTTGCAATTATATTTTGCATGACAAATTAAAATTACCTATTTAGTTATCTTTAAGAAGCCTTACTCAATATCCAGAAAAAGATAAATTTATATTAAAAGATTTAATGTATTCACTTAGTTGAGTTTATAACCGTCTTCCATTATGCATTACTACACCATAAACAATTTGACATTTTGTCTGAAAGCCCTCTTCAAGAGCCGGTAAAGTTCCTCTTATAAGTTTTTGTGAAGTACAATATCATATCCGCGCATTTAAACTATCGAATAGCCAATGGAGACCAATTAAGCTTGAGATATTTTGAGAGCTTAAGCGAGTCGATTAATTTTGCGATTAAATTTTCATGAATACTTAATTCATTTGATTTGTTGACGACACGAATAACGTAAACTACAACAATCGTCGGCAATTTAAACTGTTAGGAACAAATTTCCTCCAAGAAAATGGTCCCAGAATAGAGCTTTGAGGAATTAATAAATCCGTTCATCTTGTTAAATCTTTATATCAATACTACTCAATACTACTACAGGAATACCTGAGACGACGTTTAAGTCTTATATTCCCGGACTGAGGGAAACACTGTTTTGTGGTACCTACCGATGATTTTACCCGAGTCGAGTTTTGTTATAAGCCAAGTGTTAAAGAACAAAAAAACAATTTTCGATTTTTTATTCGTTCGTATTTGATTTTAAAAACTTCGAATATCTTACATTTCCAGGTTTTGTTATTCCCTGGTAAATAAATATGATGTCTCCCGGCAGCTCGGATTGGTTGCTGGGTAATAGTAAATGTTGATGACTATCACGTACCACCCTATTGGCAATGAGAAGAGAAAATTAAATGAACTTTGACACTTGGTATGTAACAATTCAGCATAAAACGTAATGACGATAATAACATGAAAAGCTTCAGGTAGCTTGTTAGTTTTCAGTAACTTAATCAGTGAAAGTCGAGCATGCGGGGAAAAAATAAAGAGGTCCTAGAATAGAACCGTGTGGAACACCTGACGAGGCAAAGTAACTTATTACTAAAACGATGATACATCGAACAATGAAAAGGCTCTAGGTAGCTTTAGGGAATTACTAATCAGTTGGTGGATTTCTGAAGTTCGCTAGCTGAATGTGGTATTAAGTCGAAAATAAAAAAGGGACCTGGAATAGAACAGTGTGGAACACCTGAAGAGGCAAAGTACCTTATTACAAAACGATAAAGTCAATCAATGAAAAATCTATAGACAGTTTTAGATTGTCATTAGTTTTGTTAGGTGTCCAAGAAGAATATCGTACTAAGTCGACAATAAAAAGGGTCCCAGAATAGAACCTTGAGGAACACAGACAAATAACTTGACTAACCGTATTTAGATAGAAATGGCCTTTGAATTAAAATAGAAGGAAACACCTCATTCAATGTAGTTAAAACAAAATGTTCTTTTTCCAATTACGTCGTAGAATGATCTAGAAGCCGCAACGATGACTCATGCCGATAGCCTAAAGTTAAGACTAATTTCTAAGATAATTCTGAAATGCGATAAACATAAGTTTTGACTGTAAAACGAATCAGATTTAAGTGGCTAGTAACGTAAGTAAATAAAAATCAAGGCTATCGTTTACCAGATCAAACCGTTTGTATTAAAATCAACCATTTAAGAATGGGATTATCACGAATGGCTTGATTTGATTATCGACTAAGTCAACTTACTTAATATTGGTAGTTTGATTAAAAAGCTGCAATTTGGTCAAAATAAGGTAGATAATGTCTCCATCTTTGATTATATTTCAAAATTCGTGAATTCGAGTTCTCGAATCCACTAACGACATGGCTATTAAGCAAAAGCTTTTAAGAGCAAATTCTTAACAATTTGTTTCTTCATGAATGGTAAAAAGAAAGTCTTTTTATCGTTTATGTTTCGTTTCTTTCGTGTGCGAATATACAAGTGAATATGGTAGTAAGACTAAAGCCATTCTGGTTCTTTTCAGTGCTGTTGATGTGGTTTCAATGACAAACATCCACTATAATAACGATGTGTTAGGGTTAACACGACACATTCTCTTAAGTGATAAAAGTCTCTGTTAGGAAAAAATGAGTTCGTTTGTCATTATTAGCTTTAAAAGTTTGCTCTTCTATGTGTCATCTTTGAGTCTAAGCAATTTGAGAATTAAGACAATGAAGATAAGGTAAGGAAAGGTAAGATGAAACCGCTTTGACCGACTCACGCAGCAAGGCAAAATTAAAGGATATTGATGCTCGTAGATTCGCCGTTTATTTGATTCGGTCGGCAAAGAATGTCCATTTCAATACGTTCTTGACCTTTTGTTGCCCTCGTTTCGTTCAGATAGTTTTCCTCGTCTTCTGCTCCCGTGTCGTGCGTTCGTTGTAGAGCACAGATTGAAGTCTCGTCCTCTTCGTTCGGTCGAAAGCGAATGATACAAACACAGCACCCAACGAGCAATACAAATACCAGAATAAAAGCAACAAATCCTCCAATTAAAAGAGCAATCGCTGTTTCTTTTTCCACGGCCATTTTTTCCCAAATTTCTCCAAGTTGAGTTTCAGTGCTTCATTCGTCTCAACTCATAAGCCATTTAATTGCTCAAAATACGAATTTTGTGTTTTTCTTTTTGTTTAAAAGCTTGAACTATATCATTATGCACATCGATTGAAAGAATTGTGTCTTCAAATCCAATAATTTCTTTCTCTTGACTCTTTTGTATCTTTTTTTTTATCTTCGAGTCTTTGGCACGTTCACCTGTCAATACCAGTGACAATATTTCCAGCCCAATTTTGCGGTGTAGTTAAATATATTGAAGTATCACACTACATGGCGGTCGTCAATACTCAAACGGTTAATGAGTTTGTACTTACGTGGTCGTCAGTTGACTAGTATTTTCCACGATTTTTTTCTTAACTTTTTATCATGGCAAAAACCTTTGAACCTTCAAATTTTCTAAATTAAATCGACTGTCGAGCGAAAATCGATTTAATACTTCTTTTTCGATCTTTCCAAAATATCAACTCTCCTCTATTTTCAAAACATTTTAAATGAAGTAGATTAACGAAACAAATGGGTGATACTTTAATGGTTTGCACATGCCTTACGACATCAAAGGAACCCTTTCGCGCTCGTCGCTAGGCAACGTTGAAGATTGACCATGACGTCAGAGCATCAAATGAGCATTAAAAAATAATCAACTCTATGGTGTCAAAAAATTTAATGAGCAGTCGCTCACATTTTCTTCTTGAAGAAATCATTTTTAGATGAATGTCTTTGCTATTCCTCAAGGAATAGAAATATTGATGGCTCTAAATGGTCGTGTTCAAACTGTAGTCTACTGTGGTTTATGCCCTACGATCAAATTCGCCGACCGACCGAATCTTTCGATTATAAAAATCAATCCAAAAAATATATCTGGTCAGACAGTATCGAATTCAAGTTAAAGATATAACTTAGATGATAGCCGTTTTAGCTATTTTCTAACTCTCTTATCGTTGATCAGTCAACATACATTTCTTTTAAATAGCATCGACTTCAAACTAATTATTTTTTCAATCGTTTTCTACTGCCGTTTCATCGGCGCACGCACAGAACAAAAGAAAAACAAATCCGAGGCGCGGAAATGCGGTCTTTGAACAAGGCGAAGATTCTGGCGTAGTTGTATTTCCGTGTTTACTAAGTGAATATAATGCCGCGAGCGCTTTTTCTTTTTACAAAACAGCTCTTAAGATTTATACTCTTAGGATTTTAATTTTCCTGACGTTTGTTCGTACATTCGTTGTTTCGCCTATTCGTCCATCCATCCATACATCCAATTAAATTTAAAGTCAAAGTAAAAAAAAATCATTCTCAAACACATTCACTTTGAATTGTTTATAGTATCATATATCAAGACTCAGAAACCCTTAAGAATTATTTTAATATACCTCTTTACCTTGGGCATAATATTTTCCCATTTCAGACCACGTATCATTCCCTAGAGTATCATTTCTTTGTTTAACGGTCGCACATGAGAAGACACATAAATATGGATACAACTCAAATTAAGAACTTTATTCTCTAGGGAATGACACGYGGTCTGAAATGGAAACGCATTACGCCCATGCTAAGGAGATCTATTCCGTCTACCTCCAACAGCGTTTTCTAAAATTTTGTTTGCGCTTCAAAAAACGCTTACTATAAGTGAACAAATACTTAGTAGTGTTCAAGGATTCTGATTGGCTTGTTTGTGTAGTTTAGTGTGTTTTGATTGGTTCAAATGGAGGAAGCCATTTTACAGTCACGGACGGAACAGTGCGCATCCTCTATTGATGTACTTTTAGATGCTTGAAGAAGCTTGAAAATTTAAAACTTTCGACCATAACAAATTCCTGTAAAAATTACAGCGTAGGCGTAATTTTACATTTCATGATGCTTAGAATTTTATAAAAACGTTATCTAAAGTGAAATGTAAAAAAATATGACGTTTGTGACTGATAATACGTTGATGGCTTGAAAATGGCACTTGTCTTGGGTCGCCTTACTTTTTCTCATCAGCCTATAYGTCCTTTCACATGTAAACCTAATTTCGTTATCGATTTGTTTGAGATATTTTCCTTAAAATCATTAAACTTTAGCGTAGAATAAAAGCTTTGAATTCTATAATTTACCGGATAAGTTTTATTAAGAAATTTATAAACTTTTATTTTGAGATGTTTTCATTTCTGTAAATTGTTTGTTCATCTTTAGTGAAAGAGCAAACTGAGTACTTGTTGATAAACACCGCAAAGAATTCGACATGTTTGCCGAATGAATATCTATGTAAACAGCTTTGTAAACACCTAAATAGAGGACACGAATCGTATGTCATTTTTAATCAACTGAAAGGTGATTAAAGAAAATTTTTTGATAAAACTTTTGAACSTTTTTAATGGAGTAACTTCATAATTCTCTAGTAGTTTAGTTACACAAAGTTCGAACTAGTTCTCGTAGCGTTAAGATTATTTATTTACGTCCTTAATTTATTTTTCTTAGTTGGCTCAGCTGCAGCTTAAATACACACTAGTCGAACTATCTGAGCCGTTCTACTATTTTGACTGAGAAAACACTGAATTTCAGAGAGTAGTTCACTTTATATCTCTGACAATCTTGAAATAACTTATTACATGAAAAACGCGAAATTAAGTCGCCAAAAAAATAATGACGCCAAAATTAAGTGACTCAATTATTGAGAAAGTAGCGAACTCAATGACCAATAAAAAGCATGCATAAAAGATGTTGTTATTGGGATGAACCATGCAAGTATTAGCGCCTATTGATCTAAATCCACACTAAATGATTTGTACCAGTATTCAACGTACTGCAAGTCAAAACCAAGGGACAAAAGCGATCTTTTCTTCTTTTTTTATTTTATTTTATTTTTTATTTTTTCTGTTGAATTTGTGCGTATTTGGAAACGAATTCTGAATGCTTTTTCATTATTGAAATCGAGAAATAATGTGTGTTTGGAAACGAAACGAAAATCTTTTCTATGCTTTGAGGGTTTTTCTCCAGGTTTTCCTAACTCCGCATCCGCAAAAATCCGAAATTTCAATTGGAATTGTGTGGATAAAGAGCCACTCCGTGAAAATGCCTCCGTTAAAATTTATTTTAATTTA